TCTTAAAGTGTTGACATTTGTCTCAAGTAAGACATGTGTCTTTTAAAAACTATACCTGTTTAAAAGTGTTGACACCTGTCAATAAGTGTTGACATCTGTTTAGATGTGTTGACATCTGTCAACATTTGATATGGTCTGTCTATAAGTGTTGACATCTGTATACATTTGATATGGTCTGTCTATAAGTATTGACACCTGTCTGAATTTAGACATGTGTCTATTAGAAAATACACCTGTTTATTGCTGTTGACACATGTGTAAACAAGTTGACACATGTCAACTTGTTGACACTTGACTGTATGTTGACAACAATCTTCAAGTGTTGGCATTACTGTCTTCAGTTGATACAATCAGTTCGTAAGTGTTGAGATCTTTTTGAGCGTAGACATATGTCTATTGAAATTACACCTGTTATTAGTGTTGACACCTATCAATAAGTGTTGACACTTGTCTAAATAATGACACCTGTCAGTTAGTGTTGACACCTGTTAGTAGGTGTTAGTACCTATCTATATTTGTTGACACATGTTAATAGGTGTTGACATATATAAAGAAGATGACACCTGAAGGTGTAGAATATCTTCAGTGAACTGTCCCTGATATATGATAATCTTTGTTTCTGATACTAGATATACATGTTTATATTTGATCAGACTATGGTTTGGAATATTTACCATTTACCTACGAGTTATACCAATATACACCTTATATTATCCAATCCATTATTGAAGATTTCAATGTTCCATTACCTGTAACACCCTATGCATTGACTCCCTTAGGAAGCATGCCCATTTTGATTTACTGTATGTTCTAGTGAATGGAAAAAGAAATTTAGATTCTTTATAAATGAGAAGAAGTTAAGGTTAACCAGTATAAAATGGATGCTCTGAACAGGGATGTTCAATTCCATTACGGTGTAGTAGATTGTATGTTTAAGATAGTGAAATTTTTCAAGATTTGCTGTGAAAATGTAGGTTGGGCCATGGCCAGTAGAACTTTTCAAAATCAACATGCAGGCTAGTATTCTGAATACGTTATTGTACATCCCTTCTTTGGTTTCATATTTGGAAACAAATATTTGTTTACTGTATTTTCCTAGCAGGATATGATATCTTTTTATAAAAAAATATAAAAAATACCATAAAGCAAAAATGAGTTCACATTGTATTATTTACTTGTAATTTTAATCATGAAATAATTAATATAAAGAGTATTCCACTTGTATCTCATTAAAACCTTTTTAGTGATTACTCCTTTAACAGTATTTCAAAAATCACAAGTGTCCTCAATTTTATCCAAAGCTGAGATAAATCATAAAACCTGCAGTTGAAAAGAAAATCTGTAACTATTTTGAAGATATGTAAGGAATCTACAAAGAGAATGTATTAATAATGCTTAGGGAAGTTTCAAATTATATTTGGCTTAAGAAGCCCAGGTCCACTGCAAAAACAAATTATTACAGATTTACAGAAACCTCCCCTGAATAAGGTTTTGGGTATAACCCTTGCACTCCTATGCTACTTAAGTAGACTCTACCATGCATTGATATGGATGTGTCTATTATGGTCTACAATGGTTAAAAGGTTACCGGTAAGTTTCATTTCAGCCATGAAATGTTAAAGCTATTTTCTAACCAGAAAAAGTAGTTGCAAATTCTTAGTTGCAGAATATTCTTGGCAGTGGTACCAGGATGTTTTAATTTCTGGAGTAAAAAACCAAGAGTTCTGCATTATGAAATTCTACTTAGTATTCACAAATGGATACTGTAGTATAAATTTGTTGAATTACATCTGAACATGTTTTCATAAAAAGACTGGTGATGATTTCTTTATATATAAGAGTGACTTAAATGATACAATGTAAGTGATGATAGGGGATTTTTTCCTTTTTTCATTTTTCATTCAGTGCCATGAGTTAAAGCTTTAGTTATTTGTTTGTGATAAACATCATCACCTGTTCGTATGACATTTTTAAATTTGCTTGTCCAGAGTATGAATATGTGTATATATTTATATTTTTAATTATGTCATTTGTGATTGCTTTTCATTGCAAGTCCAGCTTTTAATTCATTGTGTTAACATGAGCAGGGAAATGGTGCTTCTTTGTCTGGTGATGTCATGACCCAGAACTAAATCTAGGGAACATTATTGTCACAAGGAATATAGAAATTTACCTTTCAAATTATCTCCCCTTATAACAAAACTACCTAATGTACATTGTTAAAGAGAGGATATTCAACTAGTGGAAATAAAAAAAACGATTTACAGTTATTTTAGTGATGAATTGTTAGTGTAACCTACAAGCTTAAGTGAGTGGGTTATATATCCTTAACGTGTGGAGTTATTCCAAACTATTAAATTATCCAAAATAAAATCACAAAATCCATGAGCTGGGAATGAGGAACTTTTTATAAATAAATTGTGCCATTGATAAAAAATAGATGTCATTGGGGAAATAAAACCTATAACAGTTACAGGAGTGATGAAACTTATAGTAGTTGTGGGAGTGATGAAACATATAACAGTTATAGGAGTGATGAAACTGTTAGCAGTTATGGGGCTGATAAAACCTATAGCAGTTATTGGGGGTGATGAAACCTATAGTGTTGTAGGGGTGGGGTGATTAAACCTATAGTGTTTATGGGGG